GAAGTGACTAAAAGTATCAGTGAGGTAATGGACCAAAAACTGTCCGCACTTTCTGGGACTCTGGATAAAATATCGTCCTCACTGGCAGGACTTTCGAAACGCGTTACTGAGACAGACTTACTGAAGCCGAAGAGAAAATTAAGACCATGGTCAAGGGATTGGATGATATGGAGAACAGGAGCAAGCGGGATAACATCCAAATTATTAATCTGAAAGAAGGCGCGGAGGGTCAGAGCCCTATCCAGTTTTTCGAAGCCTGTCTGCCTGCTACGCTCGGCCTGGGGAACAGCTCCGCGGGTAAAGTTTGTATCAAAGTAGACCGCGCACACAGGGGCCTGGGCCCGCGGAGCACACGTCCCAGACCGGTCATCATCAAGCTCCACAACCCCTGGGACAAGCAGCGCGTCATGGCGGCAGTGAGGGCGACTCCCGAGCTTGACTACGAGGGACAGCGGATCTTTATACACCAGGATTTCTCTTATGCAGTCCGTGAGAAGCGGAGGGGATTTAACGCTACTTGCCGAGCTTTGATTGACAAGGACATCCGCTTCAACATGCGCTACCCAGCGACACTCACGCTGACTCACGAAGGGACTGAACACAAGTTTGACTCGCCGAAAGATGCACAGAATTTCATCAAGGCACTGGACTAACGTTCAACTTGGATTATTATATTGAGGCGACCCAGGCAAGGCACGTCGGTTGTGTTTATTGCGATTAAGGTACAGAGAGACTTTACAGTGACGTATTAATAGAGCCATTTGACTGTATTTACCGTTGAAACAGATTAACGTCGTTTAGTTCCATAATTGACAGTAACCAAGTAATATTTTAGATGGGGGCAGTAGGGGTGGGATTTCTTTTTTTCTCCCGAGGAGTGAGACTTCTTTTGGCCGCACTGGGTCTTGCAACACCACCTAATTGGTGGCTTTTCATTTTTTTGTTTCTGATTTATATATTTACTTTTATGTTTTTTTGTGCTATTGTTATGTGGTTAGTTGTGTGTGTGGGGGTTTGTTTGCCATCAGAGTGTGATGGTTTGGTTCATGTCAGCACAGCCAGTCCAGGTCATAGGTTAAAACTTGTACATTTTGTTTATTGTGATGGGTCTTTTTGCTTACTTGGATTGCTAATTTTATGTTTAATGAATCACATTTTTCATAATGAGTAACACAAAATGTGTAACACTTAATGTCAAGGGAATTAATCATGTCATTAAGAGGCGTAAAATACTCTCGCTCAAAAAAGATAGGGCCCAGATCGCGTTACTGCAGGAAACTCACCTAACTGATCTTGAACACTCAAAACTTAAGCGTGACTGGGTGGGACAAATTTACTATTCCTCCTTTAACTCTAAAAGTCGGGGAGTTAAAAAATTACCATTTACCTTGAATAAGATCATAAGGGATGCAGATGGATGATTTGTTTTGGTTTCTGGGCTTCTGCATGGTGAGCAAATTCTTCTAGGTAGTGTCTATGCTCCAAATGCTTTTGATGGTAGGTTTTATTCAAAATTTTTGGCAGAGGCCTCTTCAATCTGTCCAAACCACATAATAATCGGTGGTGACTTTAATTGCGGTTTAGCCCCTGAAACAGATTATAATCCACCAAAATCTCAACTACCCTCAAGAATGGTTAAGGCTACAATTGAGTTATGCTCAGATCTTGGTCTTTTGGATGCCTGGAGAATTTGTAACCCACATGTGAAAGACTTTACTTTTTTTTCACATTCCCATTCTTCTTTTTCTAAAATTGATTATATATTTGTTTCCAGATCTGTTCTTGACAGAACTCAGGGTTGTTCAATTAACACATGCGCTCTCTCAGACCATTCTTCAGTTTCAATTGATTTTTTACCACCTTATTATGACTCTTTGTCTAGACTTAATCCAACTTTGCTTAGTGACTCTGTATTTTTAAAATATTTGGAAGATCAATGGGAGCTTTTTATCTCTACAAATGACTCATCAGAGGTCAGTGCCTCTACCTTATGGGAAGCAGGAAAGGCATTTCTCAGGGGCTCTATAATTTCTTTCACAGCAGCAAAAGAAAAAGGAAACCTTAGCTAAACAACTAGAACTTGAACAGGATATTGTTAATCTGGAGAGGGAGTTTAAACAATCCACGTCCATATCTGTGCTTAAAAAGCTGGATGCAGCCAGATCAGCCTTGGACCAACTATGAACTCAAAAAGCTGAAACTGCAATATTCTATGCAAAGCATAGATTATTTGAATCTGGCAATAAACCTGGCCGTTTGCTTGCCCGACTTGCCCAGGGGAAGAATGGGTCTTATGCAATACCCTCTCTCAAAGATAAGAAAGGTGATCTACACTATGAGACTAAGCTTATTAGTAAAATAATGAAAGAGTTCTACCAAGAATTATATTCTTCTGAGTGTCAAGAGTCTGCAGATTCTAGGAAGGGCTTTTTGGATAATATTAACCTCCATACACTGTCGGAAGAGAGACAATTAGATTTATGTAGACCTATTAGGACACAGGAAGTCTTAGAAGCCATCAAATCTCTACAGGGTGGAAAAGCTCCAGGCCCTGATGGGTTTGGGCCGGAGTTTTATGAGAAAATGGCTAAACACATAGCAAATCCCTTATTAAATATGTACATGGAATCATTTGAGAAGGGCGTGCTCCCATCTACCCTCAACCTTGCCCACATATCTCTGATATTGAAGAAGGATAGGCCAGCCGATCTATGTACATCATACAGACCTATAAGTTTGCTTGGTGTAGACTGCAAAATTTTGTCAAAAATACTGTCTAAGAGATTGGAGGAGGTTCTGCCAGCTCTAGTAAAGCCTGACCAGACAGGCTTTGTCAAAAATAGAAACTCCCACTCCAACGTACGCCGACTTATAAATATTGTACAGTTTTCTCAGAACATTAACTGCAGGGCTCTCGCCATTTCATTGGATGCTGAGAAAGCATTCGATCGTGTGGAGTGGGAGTATCTATTCGATGTTTTGGAAAGGTTTGGTTTGGGATCTGAATTTGCCAAGTGGGTCAAACTGTTATACGGGGCTCCAGCTGCAAGGGTCTTGGTAAATGGTTCTGCTTCTGATATTTTTCCTCTGAGTAGAGGGACACGCCAGGGATGTCCCCTCTCCCCTTTATTGTTTGCGCTCGCTTTGGAGCCATTGGCAGAAGCTATAAAAACCCACTCTGGGATTTCTGGAGTAACCTTGGGAGATACTGAATACAAAATCTCGCTTTATGCAGATGACGTGTTATTGTTTGTCACTAAGCTAGAAACATCTATCCCTGCACTAATATCCACCATTAATCAGTTTGGCCTTTTTTCAGGGTACAAAATAAATTATGATAAATCAGAAGCTTTGCCACTTGGTGACCAGGGGGGAGGGGACACTCCTGATAATTTTCCTTTCAGGTGGTCGATCACAGGTTTTACATATCTGGGCATCAGGGTGTCCTCGGACATAACAGAGCTATACAAGTTCAATTTTAAGTCAATTGTGGCCTCAATCAAAAATGACCTTAATCTGTGGTTTGACCTTCCATTATCTTGGATGTGTAGAATAAGTTTTATTAAAATGAATGTTCTTCCTAGAATATTATATCTTATGCAAATACTGCCTCTTAGAATCACCAAAAAACACTTTGTAAATTATCTTAAATTCCCAGTCAACCAACCTGTTTTGAACCCTATTGAAAGCTTTCTTCTTAAATTTAATGAAGATGCACTCACTAAAAAGAAATTCATTTCTCTGTGCTATGGGAAATTACTGTCTTTGAATTTTGTTACAACTGATAAGGCCAGGGTTCGGTGGGAAACAGACTTGGAAGTTGAGCTTAGCTCAGAAGCATGGTCAAAAGCTTTTAGGTTTGCTAAGAAAATGTTTACTTGTAACAGACTTCGGGAAAGCCATTACAGAATTCTACATAGAATGCAGCGTACCCCAGAGTTTTTACATAAAATTCACCCTCAAATTTCCCCTCTTTGCGTAAAGTGCAATACAGATGTGGGGACTTACTACCACTGTATATGGAAATGCCCTATAATCGCTAGATTCTGGAATAACGTTTCTATAGAGCTTCGTTCAATCTTTCACCAGACAGTCCCACTGAACCCTGTGCTGTTTATTCTTGTGTTTATTCTTAACACAGTGGTACAGAGAAACGTTCAAGGTGTTTCCGCTGGAGCGCCTCAGTGCCATTATAAAGGGAAACTGTAATGATTTCTATGGAGTGTGGCAGCCTTTGCTTGATCATCTGCCTAGTGAGCTTGCCGAGCTAGTACGCAAAGGGGGATCACATTTTGTCTTTAAACATTACGTTTGATTGTTTTTGTTTATCTTTTTTTCCCCTTGATTTATCATATGGAGTATAGGTTTTGACCCTGATGTGTATTTGAAATTCATATACCGGACATTTTGCTGGACATTTCATATTTTGTATTACACTTGGCTGTGCTGAATTGTTGTTGTTTGTCTTGTTTCTAAAAGACAATAAAGTAATGTTTAAAAAATAAAAAATAAAATTTGATCAAATATTCGACTCGACACCCGAAGTAAATTTCATACATATGACGTTGAAGTTATACAAAAATAAGAAAATGTTAAAAAAAAGAAAAAAAAGAAGCTAAGTTAGTTCATGTTCACGTAATGAAAGTCAGAGTAAGTTAGGGTTCATGCTGTATCTCTGTCTCCACCTCTACCTCCGTTCCCCAATAAGTGCCAATAAAAACCCTTTTTATTGATTATTTCTTTATAACTTATTTCTTTTTACATCTCTCTTATGTAATATGCATTTGTTTTATTGCTATGTTTAATTATCAGTAGTATTTATTAAGGAGTTATCGTAGGTTTTTGGAACAAATTATAGGAATTACAGTGTATTCTGATGGAATATTTAAACCAACATACCAATATTTTAACATACAGTTCGTATGTAGAGGTTCTGCTGTACCCATGTTTGTAAAGTCAAAACCTAACTGATAAACTAATAAACCAAAATCAGTTTTTCAATCTCTTTAAGTTATAGATGTACATTTCAACATTAGATTTAAAAAGCCCAGACATTATTCTGTTACCTGATTTATTGTCAAAGTCCATTAATTTTCTGAATAACCGGAATATTTAATCATGTTGAAATCAGTAAGTCTGTGCTTCATTCAGCTTGAAATATTCCAGAAGAAAGGAGAACACAACATTTGATTGTTTGCTATTTCTAAACATTACAAGTTAAAAACGATTTCAAACCTGTGAAAAAAAGGAGGGATAGTGAAAATATTCGTTTTGAGAAAACAAGATAAAAAGTCTGAATGGCATCTTTTGAAGCTGAAAGCTGAGTGGAGCTGAAGCTCCACGTCCAGAGTGAGAAAACATCTGCACCCAGCAGCCCCAAAGCCCCCGGATCACACAGCCTCATCTCTACTGAACAAAGATGTCTCAGAGGAGCTCACAGAGCAAGTGAAGAACTCTGTGTTTACAGGCTCCTTTCTCCAAGTTAAACCGAGAGTTATTACCGTAACTGCGGTTCTATGAATCCCGGATGACCGCCAGAGGCGGTGCTTCAAGCACTGAATGATCATTCTTGCGCAGGTCGAGTACTAATGACAACAAAGTCACCTGTGACCTGCCGGGGACCCACGTGACTCTATATAGTCACGTGGCACCCGGCAATCAATCCCTCAAACTTCTCGCGAAAGCAGAGATTCCGAGGGACCAAGCACTCTGGCGGTCATCCGGGATTCATAGAACCGCAGTTACGGTAGTAACTCTCGTTCTATTTCATCCCTACTGACCGCCAGAGGCGGTGCTTCAAGCACTGGAGACTCATATCAACAAGGTCACGAGGAATCAGCAACAAGGAACCGCGACTACACCACCAACCTAATGTGATGTAGAGGCATGCTGCTCCAAAATTCCTTGAAGCGGATGGGGCGCAGCCACATTCACCCTGTAGAACCGAGTAAAGGTACTAGGTGATTTCCAGGAGGCCGCACGGCATATAACATCCAATGGCACCCCAGTCATGGCAGCAAACGACGTCGACATGCCCCTTGTAGAGTGGCACTTCACTCCTGCCGGCAGTGGCCGGTCCTGCGAGGCATAAGCCTTGGAGATCACATCCACCACCCAGTGTGCAAGTCGCTGCTTGGAAAGTGCCTGACCTTTCCGTGAGCCAGCGTAGCAAACAAAAAGACTATTTGTCTTTCGGAAGGATGCCGTGGCATTGATATATGTCTCAAGGGCACGAACAGGACACAGTGGTTCAGAGGGGCTTCCGGTGTCAAGCCGAGCAAGATGGAGCGGCTGGGTACTGCCAGCCGCCGGTGACACCTTAGGAATAAACGCTACGTCAGACCACAGTGTAACCCCTGAGCCATCAGGATTCCACCGGCAGCAGGGCTCGGCTATCGAGAGAGCCTGTAATTCCCCCACACGTTTCGCAGAAACCATAGCTAAAAGGAACGCCGTCTTTAGTGAGAGCCATTTGAGGTCTGCCGATGCCAGGGGCTCAAATGGGAGGGACCGAAGAGCCTCAAGCACAAGAGAAAGGTCCCATGCCGGTGCCACAGGGCGGTTGGGTGGGTGCAAACGCCGAGCACCCCTTAAAAACAGGACAACATCTTTGTCTCGGCCCACAGAAAAACCATTCAGCCCAACATGCCAACAGGAAATGGCAGCCACATACACCTTTAAGGTAGATGGAGACCGTCCTTGATCCAGCAATGCCTGCAGGAAGGCCAGTATGTCAGAAACACTGCACCGGGTCCTGCCCTCTATCACGGCACCAGGTCGCGAAGACCGTCCACTTGTTAGCATAGACAGCTCGCGTGGACGGGGCCCATGCATTAGCCATCGTATGCCCTATGGACCCAGAGTACCTTGAGAAGGTGGACCCCGGCCTTGCAGGGGCCAAACCCAGAGCTGGAGCCGGTCCGGTTCGGGGTGCAGAATCTGACCCCCCACCTGGGAAAGAAGATCTCTCCTGGAGGGGAGACGCATTGGCGAGCCGGAGCTGAGCTCGCACAGTAGAGGAAACCAAGTCCTCGCTGGCCAGTAGGGGGCCACCAGCAGAACCCTGTGCCTCTCCTGACGCACCCTGAGGAGAGTCTGAAAAAGGAGGCTGAATGGCGGAAAGGCATAAAGGAGGGTCCGGGGCCAGTCGTGTGCCAGGGCATCGCGGCCCAGAGGGCTGGTGTTGTCCAATGAGAACCACAGGGGACAGTGAAACGCGTCCCTTGAGGCAAAGAGGTCCACGGCCGCCTTGCCAAAGACCTTCCAGATGCGGTCCACTACCTCCTGGTGAAGCTTCCACTCCCCTGGGAGCGGCTTCTGACGGGATAGAAAATCTGCTGGCAATCTGCTGTTCTCCGGCCCTGGGATGTAGGCTGCCCTGAGGCTGTCCATGCATGGAGCTGCCCAGGTCAGAAGCCGTCGAGTCGAGCACAACAGTTTCCTTGACCTGGTTCCCCCCTGGTGGTTGATGTGAAAAACCACTGCGGTGTTGTCTGACCTCACCAGCACATGCTTCCCCTGCAAGCCTGGGAGAAAGCTCTGAAGAGCCAGAAATACAGCCTGTAACTCCAGGACATTGATGTGTTCCCTGCTCTGCCGCTGGGACCATGTCCCCTGTGCCATTTGACCCCGCCAGGTCGCACCCCAGCCCGTGGAGGATGCATCCGTAAACACAACTTCCCGACGACACGGGAGGGAACCGAGCGGGACCCCTGTGGTCATAAACAACCTCACCCTCCATTGGGACAGAGACTGAAGACACTGAGGCCCCACCCGAAGTCTGCGGAGACGATGAGTGTTCCGTGCGGGATCCAGATTCAAGCTGTTCAACCACATCTGGAGGGGCCGCAATGACAGCAGCCCCAAGGGCACTACGGCAGACGCCGCTGTAAGCATGCCCAAAAGTCGAAGGTACCGCACAAGAGGCGGTGCCATGCCACGCCTGAATTCCGGGAGCATGCCCAATATACTGTCCACCCGCTGGGGTGACGGGCAAGCAGTCATCGAGATGGAATCCATGGCAATGCCCAGGAAGACAGTCTCCTGTGAGGGGGTCAGACTGCTCTTCTCCATGTTCACCTGCAAGCCCAAGCATCCCACATGATGGAGCACTAACTGAGTATCCCGAACCGCCTGGTCCCGCGTCGCGGCACAAATGAGCCAGTCGTCCAGATACGGGAGGATCCTTAATCCTTGTGCCTGCAGAGGAGAGAGGGCCGCTGCAACACATCGGGTGAACACCCTGGGAGACAGTGAAAGTCCGAACGGGAGGACCCTGAACTGGAAATGCCTCCCTTGAAAAGCAAAACGAAGAAACCGCCAATGGGGCGGAGCGATTGGGACGTGAAAATAAGCATCCCTGAGATCTATGGAAGTGAACCAATCGCCCGGGGAAATCGCCTGCAACACTTCCTTGGTGGTCAGCATATGAAAGGGCATGACCTTCAAGTACACATTCAGGCCCCTGAGGTCCAAGACTGGACGCAGGCCCCCGGTCTTCTTCGGAACCAGAAAATACATGGAATAAAAGCCCCCTGGATCCAGCAGGGGGTCCACAGGCACTATAGCACCCTTGGCCAGCAAGGTGCAGATTTCTTGGTTCAGTGCCTGTGCCTTCACCGGGTCGCGGATCACAGTCATCCTGACCCGGCCAGGGATATGTGGCCGGCGGCGGAATTGAAGACGGTACCCCCGGGACAGGGTGGACAACACCCACAAGTCCGGGGTGTGGGCAGCCCAGAAGCTGAGCCGTCCCGGGGAAAAATAACCGACCGCCGGCCCTAAGGCATCACCTGCGGGCCCCCCGGCCCTTCGAAGGCCCGGGAGGACGCCGGCCAGACTGCGTGGCTCGAAAGGGATGAAAGGACCTCGTCCCAGCTTGGTCTCGAGCTCTGTTTCTCCGATCTGGAGCAGGTCTCTGGACCGATCCCTGACCTGGTACCAGCCTCTGGGGCTCAGTGGAAGAAGGAGAAGGCCCTGAGGACCTCCGTGAGGGACCCGCAGCCGCCCAGGTGCTGACTGGCTGGCGATCACGTCTGTGAAGCCCTGCCAGCTGTCGCCTCGTCCTGGAAGCCTGAGCTGTACGGTCCAAGGCGTCCAGTGCCGCAGAACCAAAAAGTTCCCCCGGAACCACAGGCAGGGCCCGGAGGGTCCTCCTACAAGGCTCAGTAAGCGGTGACTGCGCCAGCCAGACCTGGCGGCGAGCGTGAACCAGTGTGGACAGTGTGCGTCCAAGTTCCCTCGTCATAAGAGCAAAGGCCTGCAGAGATGCATCAACCAGGCCTTGCGTGGCATGATCCAGTGGAACAGATTCCAAGGAGGAAGACAGGGCCAGCATAAGATGGGATAGAGTTCCCAATCCGGCCCATGCGGGCCCCAGAGTCATAGGCCTTGCAGAGAAGGTCATCAGTAATACGGCACTGAGGACGCGGACAACGGGCATTGGGCCGCAAAGCCTCATCGGGTGGGATAATAAGAGAGGCAATGCCCGGTTCCACCGCTGGCATCTGCCCCAAGCCAACCTTGGGTGCCTCCTGCATAGCTGCCAGGACCCTGCCATCCATCGTCAGACGTGAAAGCGCCTTGGTGTCTGACCAGCAAGCATGGAGTTCCTGCACATACTCCGCCGAGGGAGGAACCATAAAGGCAGTCTCTGACCTACTGCGCTTAAAGAAGGCGCTGGAAGCCGTAGGCTGGGCCTGAGGAACACCAATCTGTAAACGGGCAAGAGCCGTTCGAATAGCGGATGTCACAGATTCAGTCGTATCCTCCTGGGAGGCAAAGGAGTCCGACCCAGAGGCCCCGGAGCCCAGCTCCGGCAGGTCCTCACAGAAATGAGTGCCAGAGGCCGCCACAGAAACAGCATCATCGTCATTGACTGACATTACGTCTTGCTCGGGAGGGAGAGCCGCGCCGCGATCATCAGCAGTCTGAAAGGACTGGAGGAGGGCTTTCATTTGGG